GTTCACGTGTTATGGTAGATATGACCAGGGTTTAACGTGATCTGCAAGATGAACACCATCTTACCCGGGAAGGTTTTGTCTATAATCTCGTTTGAGCGCATTGCTCCTAAAATGACACGAATCGGAGGCGCGCGTGATTGCAAAGCTAATATATGCTGTACGGAAGACGGGTCAGTATCAATGATGCTACGAAATATGCGTAGATCGGTGAGGAATCCCAGTGTAGCTAGCGTAAATACGCCTACTCACACATATTACCCATCTGCACGTCATCGCCGTGAGGCAGTTGACACATATCATCGATTGCGACGGTCGAATAGAGCAATGTTAATCAGCCCCGCGCGCGAAGTATCTTTTAGGACAGGTAGTTTTTGCCGATGGTCGCCACAAACACCAATAGTATGCTTTGAAATTATTCTGCTGAGCTGTTTGTGATGTTACTGAAGGGTATTTCCACTATCTTCCGCATGCATTTATCTTACTTGCATAGGTGACGTACTTTCTGACTGATTTGAATAGCTACTGACTGACAGAGTGGCGTAAATCCTTTCCGACTGACATTATAGTGGGTCCGATATGTACGCCAAAAGGCCTCGTCCAGATCGGACGAAGAGGCACCACTGCGTGCACATTCTTTTGACCGGCTGCAACATACGAAGATATATGGCTGTAGGCAGAGTATCAAATCGTAGTGATGGTTAGACTTGAATTGAATAATAGTTCATGTACATTAGATGGAGTACTTTCGCTGCCTACTTATCAGCTCGGCGTGCTATTTGATGTGTTCGTGCATATAGCGCGAGGTCGTTAATGAGTGTATTTGCCACGCGCTCGTGATAGTTCAACCTATGCATGGGGTCACTGTTTCTTTATCGGTACTTTTGCATCGTGGTGCTAGCTTTCTGCGCCTACGCTTCTGATGGATCACCCAAGCGCGCCACTAACTGGACGTAGGTCATAACCGCGGTGATACAGGCAAGCTGACCGCGCGTATGTAGGTAGTAGTCAGCGCGAAATATGCGCGCGGCGGGTACATCTTATAATCATTCGCGACTCAACCGGACTCTCGTCTCGACCATTATACACAGGAAACTAAAATACAGTACTGCGTACAGGCACATCGACTTGCGACGACACCTGTATGGTCAACACTACCATAAACGTGCTTGTGTCCATGTAGACAGCAGCATATTCATCGCGCATAGTGCTCACTCAATACTGAAGCTTACATTCGTGAGCGCACATTAATGAAATATACGCTGTGAGCGTTGGTGGTACAGATAGCATGGTTTTGCGTGTGCCCACGTGAGCGAGTGTACGTGCCATCTACGGTGACGCGTATGCAGATAGGAACCACCAACTTGCAGCGGTGCACAGTTGATTCCATGTCTTATTTTATTTTGAAGCGCGCTACGCTCTATAGGCGCGTCAACACGCTTGGTAGCGCCACAGTCAGCTTACAGTATGTGCGACCCCAAGCCTTGCACCGTCAGCCAGTATACAAACCTATGCGGGGTAATGGGCTAAAAGGGTATACTTACCAATTACTTGCTCTTCTGCTGCTTTTTCTAATCAATGTACCTGACGTTTCGGGCGGTCAGCTTGCGAGGGCGGCTGCGCCTCTTTTTCTTCTTGGGGTACCAGTCAGGACCCATCGGCTTCTTGACGTTTGACAGGCTTTCCTAGTGGCACACTTCGGCCGAATCAGGTGGTGGGCCCTTTTCCTCCCATAACGGCACACTTCGGCCGAATCAGGTGGTGGGGCCTTTTCCTCCCAGAACTCAACTGCTTTGGGCCGATCTCGCAGGCTACACAGCGCCACACGATGTCCCGCCCGCTGATTGTACGGAGTGCGTAACCGTACTGCAGCTTCCCGCAACCGACGCAGCGCGCCCGGGCATCCGTCGTAGACCACTGCGGGTCCAGCAGAAGCGGGTCAATCTTCGCCTCGCATTGCTTGCACACAGGGCCCACCATTTTGCAAACTGTGAGTAAGTTAGCAATACTTATTGTTTTAACCAATTACTTGCGTCCAAATATTAGCCAATCGCTTGGAAATATAAGGCTGGTATTTATTATTTAGAAACATATTAAAAAGTTGATACTCACGTTTTGGCTTTGCTATAATATATTATTATCCGATTTCCAAACAAATACATACTTCACGTGCAATATAAATTGCCTAAAACAATTATCTATCGTGCGCGCATGCATTCGTCGGGTGCGGCGCACGGGAGCAGATAGCGCAATGACCGTGCAGCCGCGCGCCTTCATTGCACGGTGGCAGTGTTGAGTGCCAGGTGAAGTAAAATATATATATTCGCAAGGTCCCTACAAAAAGCGCTGGTCGTGAAGCCTACTTTAATATTAAAAAATACTATTGTCTCTACTTTAGAAAGTGTGTGGAAAATAGCATCGCCGAGCTCTTACAAATGCGGCCTGTGAAGCTTATATTAATCATATCGTCTTTACTATGAAAAGTGTGTGGAAAATAACATCCCAGAGCTCTTACAAAATACTGGTCTGTGAAGTCTACATTAATAATGATAAAAATCTCTATTTGAAAAGTGTGCAGAGCTCTTAGAAAATAAAGTGGTTACTGTGCCCGATTTGCAGTACATACGACAGGTTTTGCGCAATAATCAAGTATCTGCTGGCTGTTTGCAACCAATCGATGCGTTTCGTGCTCGGCAAAACTGTTTAACTTACGTCCAATCGCGAGGGCGAGAGGCGGTCTGATCGTGCGACAGATCCAGTCAGTGTCGCAGGTCGGCAGGTATTGCCCAATCAGGGCGCGAGTTAATTGTGTCACGCTTTTGGACATATTTGTAATTTTATGCATTGCTAGGTCGAGTCAGAAAGATAGGCGCGGTCGGTAGGATGGGAGGAAACTGTATTAGACAGGCCAAGTGTAGCCATGCGAAAAGGCAGGAAAAAGCAGCAAGACGGGGAATGCGACCGACTGACGGACGGACAGACCGACAGGTTACAAGGTTAGAAGCGGGGAGATAAACTGGTGAAGTCGATCGACATACTCGTTTTCTGAGCGTAACGTCAGTCCCACCGGTCCGGATTGGAGTCCGAAATCTCTGTTTATCCGTGATATGACGTCCACAGAGTCAATCATCCGGAATGCCACCTCGCCGCTAAAACTCTGTGTGGGGCATTGACTAGTGTACAAGAAACAATTCGGAAAGTTTGGAGCTGACAAGAAACGTGCAAATGCTCGCCACGTGATCGAAGTCGAGTCGTACTTGTAGCTCCATACACGTGCTGTTGTGCTGCCTTTTCTGGCTTCCTCTTTGGTAGACGCAAACACTGAATAGTTCCACGATGTATCAAAACTTACCCCTTCGTCTGGCTGCAGTGATGGGTACACATCTTGAAGATCGACACGC